CGTCCGGCGCCGCTGGCTGTCCCGTCGACTGCTCCACCTGCTCCTCGTCCGCTCAGGCGTCGGGACTCGAACCCGGTCCGTTGTGTCTCAAACAGACGCCTCCTACGGCGCAGCCATACAGCCCCGGTCCGCCGAGTTCCCTGCCCGACTGCGCTACACCAGCTCAGCTAAACCTCGGCGGCGGAGGCGGTGGCGCTTTCTCACCGGCTCTGGACGCTTTCCTTCGAGCCACCGTGGGATTGGCCGCCTCGCAGTTCGCCTTCTCCGGACACCATCAGACTCTCCCGCCCCTTCTTCCCAACACCGTCTCCAACGGGTTCGTCGGAGCTTCCGAGAGCCACCAGTTGCTGCATCTGCACAAGGGACGGATGGCCATGAACTTCCTCGGCTTGCCGACTGCCTTCCAAGAGATACCGCCCCTCAGTCTGCTCAGCCTCGACTGCCAACGTCTGCAGGATCAGCAGCAGCAGCAGCAGCAACAACAACAACAGCAGCACAAGCCTTTAGCCTCGGGGCTGACGACCAACGGTCTACCGGTGGCCGGCTGGGACGCCGAGGTTTGGCTCAAGAGCCCGTCGGACAAGTCCACAATGCCGAGGCCGATGGAGACGCTGGACCCTGGGTCCGAGTCCCGCGTATCGACGGCTGGTCGAGACTCGGGTCGACGGTTGCGCGTCGACTCGCGACAGCATGCGCCTCGACGACCGGGCGACTTTAGTGTGGATCGTTTTTTGTACCGCGACGGTCCCCGGCCGTCGACGCCCGACTGGACCGCCATGGAGTCGGAGTCGGACGAGCCTGTTGATGCGGCCAATAGACTCGACCTGCCGGGGTCGTCGGCTTGCGGGGCCGGCCAGTGGTACCGGTTGCCGGACGATCGGGACCCCCTTGGCCGGCTCAAGTCGGACCCGGCCTCGGACGGGACGACGAAGGCGCACGAAGAGGACAAGGCCTCCACCAGCAGCAGTCCTTTGCCGCAGACGCTCGACCTCAAACCCTCCAGAAGCAGTTACTCCTCCCTCGACTCCGGCAGCCCCAAAGAGGAGATCAGCCTCAGTCAAACAGTCGAAGAGGCCTGCTGATCCGGCTTGTCTGTCCGCCTGTCTCCTGTCGACCGTGTACAAAATGCCCACACAAGGGGGCTGAAGATGAATCCTTTGTGCCAGTTTTTCAGTGTATAAAAGTGCTACTCCTCAACTCATATCGCCCTTTGCCTACCGAAAACAGTGTTTCGCTTCTCTCCCTCAACTACCACATTTGGCAGGCTTCATCCAGCCCTGTACGCATTAAAGTTATCTACAAAACTGTTTCCCTCTCATGCTCTGATACAAATGAAGACAAGAGATAAATATTTTAGCCCAACTCTCTCGTTGTGTACGTTCGTTCTTGATGTTCTCATCACTTCACACTCGAATACAGGCACCAACTTCCAGCCTCGACAGTTTGACTCGGTTCTCTAATGCAGCTCTAGACTGCGTTCCACTCAGAGGCTGGTCTAAAGTCTCCACAGGTCTTAGCAACCTCCCCAACGCTTCTCGAAGTTGGAACCCGCTAGTCCAGATATAAATACTTTTCACGCCTCAGAAAGAGTCAGCTGGCATCGTTTGAATGGATGAAAAGAGCCATTGTTGCATTTGCCACCACACAACGCCTAGACGTCCACAGCCCGAGGAAGAGGTGGGTTGTAGGGCATCTATGAAAACGGAAGGATACTAGCAGTTCGGTTGTGATAGCTGACCTGCGCACCGAGAAATTGTACGCACAAATAGACAATCAAACAGCGAATAAGACTCTTTTTTAAACTCTTCATCTAAACACAAAGTTATCATGGGATTAATTACAAAACCGGTAGAATAAGGAATAGAGGTTGTTTGACCTTGTTTTCGCAACTCGGCCATATTGGTAGGAAGATTTATTGGAACGCACATAGTCCGGGGTCTCATTTCCAAAGTTGAACCGTGGACGTGGAACATTCCCAAACGTTTCGCCGGCATCGTAGTCGGCATCGTCAGTGAGTATCGCCATCCTAAGCACCATAC